TACACACACACTGGAGATTGGAGTGGGACTAGGATCGGGCTTCCGCAACTCCAGATAATACTCAAAGCCTCGAAAATCTGATGCCGTCGTCCATACTGAGCTGTATGAAAGGTCATCACTCCCAATGTAGATCAGTAAAAAGAGAACCTGAAATTCAGATTGACCAAACCACCGCCATCCATCTTTCAGCAGCCAGCAAGGGCTCCACACATTGATCCAGACATTGGACATGCAAAGCTCACATCACAACACTCAAGACTCCACAGGAAAAAGACATCCCAAAAAGACAGATTCAGCGAATATTCAAAAAAGAGCAAAGCCAAGGAGGAGAAAGGAAAGCAGGAAAGAAGAAGAAGAATGAAGAACCAAAGGAAACAGTAGAAGTAGTAGTAGTAGTAGTAGTAGTAGTAGTAGTAGTAGTAGAAGAAGAAGAAGAAGAAGAAGAAGAATGAGAAGAAGAAGAAGAAGAAGAGGACGATGACTATGGCGGAAAGAAAAGGCCCTGGGAAAGAGAAAGAGAATCCTCGTCTATCCCGAAAGTCTTGGATAGGTAATTCGATTTAATCATGTGTAACTTCCTACCGAAGTCCAAGCAAGGCATTGCAAAATGTGTGCAAAGGGGGAAGAGGACCTCACTTTCTCTGTTAATATATCAGACCCGCACTATTATCGCATGAAGACGCTATCTAAGGTTGATGATAATCTCTGGTTAAAAGATGAGACTGGAACTCGGGCAAAGACCGGTTTTCGACCAGGTGTTTCAAATTGGGCAGGGCTTTGACAGGGACAGGGTTCGAATGGATCAAATTGGGCAGGGCTTTGACAGGGACAGGGTTTGAATGGATCAAATTGGGCAGGGMTTTGACAGGGACAGGGTTTGAATGGATCAAATTGGGCAGGGCTTTGACAGGGACAGGGTTTGAATGGATCGAGGATTCATGAATGGATCGGGACTTATAGGCAGGCGGGAACGTGTTTTTGTATATTTAGTGGTGTTGATGGGATTGTCTGTTGCTCGCTGTGTTACCAACTTACTAGCCTGTCGGCCCGGGTTGCCTCAGATTGGACCGGGTGGCCCGGCCAGGCCAGGTCCGCGCAAAGGTCGGTCAAGGTCCCAGGCAATCCCAGCGCAAAAAAAAAAAAAAAAAAAAAAAAAAAAAAAAAAAAAAAAAAAAAAAAAAAAAAAAAAAAAAAAAAAAAAAATCTATGTTATGCAGATTTGATTTGCTATGGAATTCGGGATAGAAAATAAAAATAAAATATTAAATCTTAGCATATAACCCTTTAATGCCCCTTTCGAACCAGGCTTATACCCCATCGACACCCTTTGGTGGGATATCACCAAACTCAAAGGTAAGCCCAGATTTGGGCACGTCTCAGCGGGCGCGGAATTGTCCCACTGTCAACCAAAAAAGAAAAAACACGAAAAAAACAAGACCCCGTTTTTGGTGTTGCCCGAAGCCCCAGGCGGGTCATCCCCCGTGCAAGTCGGTCGCCCGACTCGCTCGGCCGGGCGGCCTGGGTCGGGCTCTCTGGGAACATAGGTAACTCGTAAATTTTGTATATTCTGCTGTTGTYAAGTTGATTGTCGGCACTGTAAGGCGCCGGCGCAGGTTTTCAAATTCTGGCACGGATAGCAGGGTAATTATAGATCTTGCCGATACTCGTTGCCGTCGTGTCGTGATCGACGTACACTTACGCCTGGCCACGTCAMCTCCGTAGTCGCCTCGGCCGCTCAGCGTACCSGGGATGCGCGGAGGCGACGAGCGGGACGCGTGGCGGGTTTCCCTTCCCTTCTGCCGGGAAAAGATTGGGGACGTGAAGGGTTGTGGACAGACGGCGGTGGGCGGCGGTGCGCRTGGAGGGATTTTTTTTTTTGTTTATAAAAAGAAAAGAAGAGGGCGACGGCCTTGAGATATCATCTTTGGACTGACCGGCCCCAGGTAATACAGAATATGAT